AGCATTTTGATAGGCGCCAGTGCGCCCCCTCTACGTCGTGAAAGTTGCGAATTCATTAGTGCTGAAGGACCCTGTGCATGGTTACAAACCGACAACCCAGCGTGCAGGTCTCCAAAGCCTTGTTTTGTTTGCTTGTCACACACAAAAAAGTCTGAATATGACGTTATATGTCGGTAAGCTGGGTACCGATGCCGCTACGAACACCACGACTATCTTGCATGAGCTCTGCTGTTTCACTTGCGTTTCAGAACGCCAGCTCGCTTCGTTCTGGTTCAATGGCACAGCCGCTTGCCACCAACCTCGATGTTGAAAGTCAAATTTTGCGCACTATAAATATATGAAGAAAAAAAAAATTGTAAGGTTGCGAACAAGCCGACAATGAGTGAATGAATTAGAGCCGTTTCCGTTTTCAACTGCCTCGTTTCCAAGAGTTGGAGTTTTCTACACTCGTATCTTTTGAGCGCGTTAGCGCTTATTACCTTGCAGTGCATGTAGCCGCCTTTCGTTCGGACGGTCGTGGTTTGGACTGGACTGGTTTCGCCAGGCCGATGCACGGTTTCCGCCGTCCTCTTTCGATCTGTTCGTTTGCTCGTTACATCCATATTTCTTCTTACAAGAGGAAAAGAGCCTTCTAAGCACGCTTCCAAAAACGCGCCGCGGGAGCGGGAGAGGAGGAGATCCAGCGAACGTGGCTGGGGCACCAATGTGCGCGACACCCGTAAAACCGAGGAGCAGCGACGACACCGTTTACACGAAATCGCCGACACCCGGGAGGAGATATTAGGGAGTTTAATAATATAAAATAATTATTTGCATAAGAAAAGTACATAATGCACGAAGCCCACAGAAAAAGCAAAAAAAAACAACAAAAAAACTCACATTGACAGCCGATGGCCACCACACTGGCAGATTCACTTGTTAACACAGATGTTCGGGCGAGTTAATTGGTTACTCACACACAAAAGAAGGAGACACTTACGCAGCGCTAACAACTCTGGTATATTTACGCTTTTTTCTCTTCTATATGTATTATAGGCTAGTCCGCTAGGGACAGGGAGAATAACTGGTCATTTTTCTTTTCTTTTAACGTGGAGCTAAATTTAAAACTAACTAAAGTGAAATGAATGTAAGGCTAGGTACCTTACATTCATTTCACTTTAGTTAGTTTTAAATTTAGCTTCATGTTGAAAGAAAAAAAAGACCAGTTATTCTCCCTGGCCCTAGCCTATAATACAAATAGAAGAGAAAAAAACGTAAATATACCAGAGTTGTTAGTCAGCGCTGCCCAAGTGTCTCCTTCTTTTGTGTGTGCGTTAACTTGTGTGACTGTTTCGCGCGTGCGCTGTTCCCCCTGTACATCATGGCAGATTCACAGCATGGATGACACATAATAAATTAAATAATCAAAGTTAGTCACGGCACTGATAAAAAAATAATGCATACTAATAAGCACATTACGGCTAAGAAGATGATAGCCCATGCACACGCACAATAAAACAACATATAAAACTAAAGAAGCTATGATGTCGATGGAAAATTTTTGATCCGCATAGAATAAGATAAACGTAGCAAAATAAACTAATAGAGGTTCCAGAAAACAAGTTATCTTTTTTTTTTATACAAAGCTAATAGTTCAAGGCATGCTGAAAAAAGCTACGTAGTTCCTTAAAAGAAATATGTTCTGGCAGAATATTAATTCGAAAGCATTAACTGTCCCATGGAGGGAAGCCGGCGTTGTCTGTAGCAGCGAAAAACGGCACCTAAATTCCGTCTGTAGCAGCGAAAAACGGCACCAAAGTTCGCATTGGCTGAGCAAAAAACGCCACCTAAATTCCCATTGGCCATAAGCACAGAAGCGTAGATGCATCGTCACGGAGGCCGGCGGGGCGCTCAAGGTCAAAGCGGACGCGCCTCCGAAATAAAACAGAAGAAAAAGCAGAGCAACGCAGATGCATCGTCACGGAAGCCGTGGAGCCGGCGGAGGTGGCGCACGTGTGCAGAGGGCGAGCGTGACGTCACCACCGGAGCGCCGTGTGAGAAAGGAAGACGTGGCGCGCTGCCTGTAGGAATGCGCTGCGCGTATGAATGCCTTCGCACTCCTACACGTATGCAGTATTAAGTGTCTTCGTTTAATTTTTTTTCTTATTGGCCTTACGTTGCACCTAATAAATAAGTTGAACATGGTTAAAATTGCGCTTGTCTCTTCTCTCTTCCCTCTTCTCTGTTCCTTTCTATTTGTGCGCAATTCTAACCATGTTCAATCATTACCAACTCGCCCAACTAACCACTTTACTACTAATAAATAAGGTTTGCGTGTGATAATGAGATGGCACATTTTCTACCATTCTCGGAAACTTTTTTTCTGTAGGATATGAATTTTCTGCAGATTTTCTTGTGCGGTCAAAGCCCAATTACCTTATGAGGGTAATTTGAAGTACGGAGGAAAACAGAGAATTATATATTAACATAAAATTGTTATGCGGGAGTATAGGCCTATTTCGATATGTGAGGCCAAGTAAGTTTTGTTTTAAAACATTCTGGCGGGCTAGTTGGTTACACATAATTAAATTACAAATAGCGCTAGGACGAGGACAGACGAAGAAGTGGACAGGACAGGCGCTAACTCACAACTGACGGTTTTATATACAACGTTAAAGAAGAAGGTGAAGGAAGTGTCTGGTGTTGAAAAAAAGAAGAAAAAACCGTGGGAGACAAATTGAGAATACAAATATTGGATAAAAATTAATAGAAAAAAAAAAAGTTAATAGAAAAAAAGGTGATCGTCCAAAGGCCGCCGATCAGTGCCTCGTACAGCTTATTTACCTTTTTACATCCAACAGGCACCACAGCCAAAGCTATACCGGCGCGAGCGCATAGACCCACCCGGTGCACCACCTCACGCGCTCACGTGCAAGCGTGATTATGTATAGTGGTTCAAGTACTGAACCTCTTTGTCCGTCAACGCCAAGGATGGTGCGGAGACGCATTTTTCTCCATTGGCTTGTATGGTCTGTGCTTCATAGATTTCCCTGTTCCTCTTTTCTTTAAAACGTCCGATCACTTTTGTGTTTGAAAGCAAAGGTGTGCAGGAGCAATCTCGCACATGCATGGCTAAATGTCCAGAAGGTGTTGACTGCAGGGTCAGGGCATGTTCTCTCAGTCGTGTGTTTATGCAACGTCCAGTCTGTCCTATATACACTTTCCCACATGTGAAAGGGATTTCATACACCACTCCGCTGTTGCAGTCGACATACTGGTGCTTGTGGTTTATGTTGCATTCATGATGTTGTTGCTTGACATTGTTGATTTTTGGGCACATTCGTTTTAATTTATCCGGTGCCGATAGGACCACTTGGACTTCAAACGTGGAGGCTATCTTCTTCATGTTGTGCGAAATCTTGTGGATGTAAGGCACCACAGCCGGACGGCGTCTCTTCTCTTTTATTTTTTCTCTTCTTTTGTTCGTTGTCAATAACTTCTCAGCGATGTCAGTTAGTACCGGAAAGGGGTACCCCGAAGCTTTCAAACGAGTCACTTGTAATTCGAAGCTTGATTTTGCTCTGTGCTCACAGGACTTGTTTAGCGCCATGCTTAAGCAATTAGACACTATGCCTCGCTTTTCAAACACAAAAGTGATCGGACGTTTTAAAGAAAAGAGGAACAGGGAAATCTATGAAGCACAGACCATACAAGCCAATGGAGAAAAATGCGTCTCCGCACCATCCTTGGCGTTGACGGACAAAGAGGTTCAGTACTTGAACCACTATACATAATCACGCTTGCACGTGAGCGCGTGAGGTGGTGCACCGGGTGGGTCTATGCGCTCGCGCCGGTATAGCTTTGGCTGTGGTGCCTGTTGGATGTAAAAAGGTAAATAAGCTGTACGAGGCACTGATCGGCGGCCTTTGGACGATCACCTTTTTTTTCTATTAACTTTTTTTTTTTTTTCTATTAATTTTTATCCAATATTTGTATTCTCAATTTGTCTCCCACGGTTTTTTTCTTCTTTTTTTCAACACCAGACACTTCCTTCACCTTCTTCTTTAACGTTGTATATAAAACCGTCAGTTGTGAGTTAGCGCCTGTCCTGTCCACTTCTTCGTCTGTCCTCGTCCTAGCGCTATTTGTAATTTAATTAAGTTTTGTTATCACTGAAATTTTAAGCTGAGCCCAAGTCATTGTTTCCTGAAATATGACGCATGACGTCGTAAAAAAGGCAAGATCTCAGCAGGAGCAGAATTTAATTTAAATGCTTTGGTTATGGAAATATTCTTGTTTTTACAGCGGAGCTGTTAAGGGCTAGTTTCCCCAGGATTGTGTTCAAGAGCCAAGAAATGATGACACCGAACTCTGGACAGCTACCACCATCTATGAGCGACGGCGGAAACCAGACAGCTGGTTGCCGCCGTCGCTCATAGATGGCAGCAACCTTTCTTCGGAGGTAGGGTGCCTAGATCATACTTGGGTAGTAATTCAATTACAGTAATTAAATTACTGTAATTTAATTACTTTTCCTGGTAATTTGTAATTGTAATAATTACTTTTGGCTAAAAGGAATTGTAATTGTAATTTAATTACTTTCTAGCGTCAGTAATTGCTAACTTTCAGGCACAATTACAATTACTTTTGCAAGATTTTGTGGCGGCGGCGCTTTTCCCCCCTGGCCACGGAGACGACAGCACTGCCAAAGCGACAGGGGAGAGTGTCTCCCAACCTGCTCAAAAAAAAGAAAAGGGAAAAGAGGGATGGGAAAGAGACGCTGGGATAGAACGGAATGAAGGATTTTGTTGACTTTAAAACGATTTAATGAAGAATTTGAGAAATAATTTGATAAATGAGGGGGCTACATTCGCATCCGTTTTTGTTCCTGTCGTAGTTGAATCTGACACTTCGTCTCGTTCGCTTGCTGTTGCTCCTGTTTCTAATGGTCTTTCTTATTTCTCATTCCCACACAGGGGCATCGGGAGTCGAAGTCGAGATGGTTGGCTCCGATCACATCATCCGGCCGAGGCGGGGAGGTTCGAGGTTCTCCTTACGCGTCTTCGCCGCTAGCATATTCACTTACATATTTCAGTCAAGTTTGGGGACTTTTTTGTTCATGAAATTATTCTCTTTTCATTATGAGTTTTTTACGTCCTTCTCTTCTATCTCGTATGCTGGTACCACTAACAGTAAGTCGTGCTACTCTAACATCGAGGCGAAGAAGCAAAGAAGCAGCAGGTCTCATTAACACGACGCACCCTGCCTTACTTCCAACTGTTGTTGCTACACTGCTCTTCCTTCTCCCAATCCTCGTCTGCCTTTTTGTATAAATCTTCATTATTTAGTGTTCGCTCTACCTAACCCTTTCAACCGTTCGTCAGCCTGATTGGACGAGATTCCAAAACTTGCAAACCGCGGCTTTAGACTGTAGGGAGCTTGTTTTTACATTTGTTGTTCGTTGAAGGCTTTTTTTTTTTTTTTTATAGAGGGCTTGACTTGCACTTTGTTTTTACACCTCTATCATGACCCTCCACGCGTTGTCCTCTCGTCCTGGCCTGTGGAGCCGTTCCGAGGCGCGCAGTGCTGCTTTGCATTGAGAACCTGCAACAGTCTTATCTACAATGGAAAAGAAAAGGCTGCCGAGGCCTTGTTACGAAAAATTCTTTAAACAGATTAGCAGCAGTGTAAAAAATATAATTGTGAGGTGCAAAACTCTCCGCACCGTCTCTGATAACAAATTCAACAAACCGGAAGGCGACCTCCAATTTGCGGAAACATTTGCAGGTTAGCAACTTTTTTGTCACTTTCAATAATACTTAGTTATAAAAAAAAAATAATAATAATGGCTCGTCTATATCTTCCAGCTGCAACACGCTCAAGTAAATCATGAAATTGAGGCGGCCAAGAGGCCGCAGTTCTGGAATAATTCGCGGATTCTAATTTTCGCGACGCGGTGGGGTAGCACTATTGGGGAGGGGGACAGACCGTGACGCCCCAAGCGGTTAACCTAACAACTACACGGATGGGGACAACAAATACAATGACGCAGCGTTCGGCCGACATAACCGAACGCGGCGTCAGCGTTCGGCTGGAGTTCGTGTTCTCCGGCGAGGGGGAGGAGGGGCTGTTTTGTTTCCACTACGGCCTGCATGAACAATGCAGCATGCACGATTCCAGCTCAGCACAAAAGCCGAAGTGGGTCAAGTTCGCATTCTCTGAGGATAGATCCGGCACTTAACGTCGCTTCGTCGATTGTTAGTATTTTTTTACATTAAACTGCGCCCCGCGCTCTATTGTAGAAGATGACATGGCCATGCCCATAAGGCCTGTCGGCATGTGCACAGGCCTTGTGTTGAGTAAACACCAAGCGTGGGGAAAACAAACGGGTCAGAGCGCCCCCTATAGTTCGATCTCCTGCCCAATAGATTCAAATGTGTTTACATTTTCCGGAATTGCTCGCGGGACTTATTTTTCGCGAATTGTAGGCGAATCGCGAAATTCGCACAAATAAAGTCGTTTACAGTGCATTATGAATTTGCATAATGCAATGTAATTTGGTTGTTCTTGCCATGCTAAATTCAAATCGGTCTTCTTTATGAGACGCATAACATCGATACAATCATTGCTATCCTAATGATTAGCTGTATGACAATCCTAAATTTATTATCTATATCAGGAGCTTTTTCGGTGTTAGCGTGCAGTGAATTAACCCAGAATCCCTGGCAATAGAGTTGCTGCTATTGTGACACTAATTTTGTGAAAGCGACCACAGTTCGCGTGCTACGGTTACCCGCATCCGGCATGTTACAAGTCCACAGACAGGGAGAGGCAGCGAATCATCGTGGCTGAAATGTTTTCGTAAGTTGTCGTATTCTTTAAATGTTTGACGTCGTTTACAAGTTTCTCTTATTAGCTATTTATACGTGAGTTTTATGATACCGTACTGCCGCATATTTGTTTCCTTGTATTATTTTTAAGTTTATTTTTTGTTGGTTTGACTTAGATACCGTTTGCATAAGCTCTAAGGAGATTCACATCGCACCTGTGAATTTTGTCGCCATTTATTTTTAGTTTTTGAGAATATAAGAATGCAGGACTTCATTACTTCAAACTATTAAGTTCTATAATCCATTTAACAAATTTCATAAAAGGAAAGTACAATGCGTGGCATTTATACAGCGGCCATATAACTCGTTTACAGTTATATGGCCCAAAGTGGGTAACTCTCAGAAATAAGTAATTGTAAAGTAATTGCATTACTTTTAAAAAGTAATTTGTAATTGCAATGAACTACTTTCGCGTAGTAGTAATTGTAATTGTAGTTAAACTACTTTGGGAGCTAAGTAATTGTAATTGTAATTAAATTACATTTTGAAAGTAATTTACCCATGTATGGCCTAGATGTCTGTCTGTCTCAGGGTGAAGACATCCATTGTTGTCCGGAATGTGCCAGCGCGTGACGCTCTCGCGCACTCGGTGCGTGACTTGGGCGGTAAGATGGCGTCTATGCATCAGCCAAAGCTACGCGCTCGAGCTGAGTGACACCGGATTGCGCGCACTTCAAAATGCATAAAAAAACGATTGGGCGGAAAAATGGCTGAGATGTCACCACTCAAGCAAAAGCGCGCGTGTGTATGAAGGCACTCTATTCGGAGGCAAAAGTGCGGGAGTGGAACGAGCGGCGATGTGCGCAGCAGCGCGAATGGTCCCGCAACCGCCGCGAGGCCGCTATCGCCGCATAAAGTTCCACTGCGTCGAGTGCTTCAGATTCCCTTGCAAAAGAAGAGCAGATCGCTCGCCTGGAAAGCCACCGCCGAGAACAGAAGCTACAGCTCCGCTGCTCTCCTTTCTTCACCAAAGTAAAAAGGCCAAAAGTTTTTTTTTTTTTTTTTTTTTGTTGTTTCCTTTTCTCTCTTAGTTTCTCGTCGCATAAGCATTTAGAAAGACTAAGAATTCCAAGCTCTGCTTTTCAGCGAAAATCCATTTTCGTGTTTGTTTCCTCCCTCTATGCTGAATTGGTGTATTGTTCTAACGCAGTGCTGGTGCCGATGCCAGGCATTCTGGAAAAGCGACTCCGGGACTTTCCCCAGCTTCACGACCGAGAGTACATCGACACGCATTTTTCCGAACTCGAGAATCCACCCCTTGTTCTGCCGTAAGTGAACTCTGGGCTCTGGTTTTCAGTATGTGTCACGTGTTGTTTTCGCTTGTTCCGGAAGGAATGTGTCATTTCGCCGAGAGGAACATAATCTACTCGGCCTTATGTTCTTCTTGTTGAAACCCTGCCGGGTCACGGGTGAGATATTGGAAATTGATATGGTTATATTGACATGATATACTTCTGAATTGTCAAAGTAAACCATAGCCGATTTTGAACGCTTTGGTTTGGGCTTCGAACAGTACAAGCAATACCTTGACGTAACAGCTTATACGAAGCTCTAAAGACCGTGTTTGAGCATGCACATAATAATTGACACACAAACGTGCCACTCAGAAGTCGTCCGACAAATGAAAATTTTCGATGGATAACTATCGACTAAATGGTAAAATGGTTTAACACATTGCACTGATCGTCCCAGATCAATAAAAAAAACTTGTTCTCAGAACGTTTTTTAATGTAAATATAGGAGGACGACGACGACCTTCTCGATCAATAAGAATTTGTTGTGGATTGTCCTTTTCTAACAAGTGTGCAGCAGTTATTTGAAAACCGTAACATGAGGTTGAAAATTATTTGAAGTACTTTACTATAACAAAAAATGCATTCCACTCCGCCAAATTCTCCCCTAGCGGTGTGGGCCTCCCACACTCGAAAGAACGTACTCGCGTCGCGTTGTCCACTCTATCGCGCAGTCACACGGCGCCGAGGGAAAGGGCTGCCGCCGGCACACCGAGACACCAGATCCGCCGAGACAGCAGAGACGGCTAGTCTCGGCTGGCGCTCGAGATGCCCACGACGATAGATGGCGCTAGCCACCCCTCCTATTCTAAGGGCATAGCCCGGAGGCTGCGTCGCACCGAGCCGCTCACACTACGCAAAGCCTGTCAGCGCCAAAGTCATTGGCTATCGCGGAGTGAGATGTAGCGTCGGGTTTGCATGAAATGCGAACAGTGACGGAACTTAGTGCGCACCATATTTCATTCGAACCCGATAGCATACCTCTTTAGTAAAGTATTTTGTGATCTTCTCAGAGTGGTTGCTTTTTTTGTGGGTCCTGATACTCTCTTCGATGTTGTAGGCTGACCGGCGACCCCAAGCGTGTTGTGTACTTTATCTACGAGTACGACCCCCTCCTCGATTCTTCCAATGCCACAATGGATGATTGGATATGCATAGCGCAGGACATTGAGGTACGCAAATAATACTCGCGCAAGGTATTTACAGTAGTATATACCGTTTTTTTTTTTTATTCTTGCAGTTTTGTTTTAAAAACAACCGTGAAAGTTACACTAATGCGGCTTGTGGAGGTGAGTTATACGGCCAGGGGGACCTTATGTGGGTGGATAATGTGCGCGATAGTCGGCTATTTAATTAAAATTCACTATTTAACTTTTTAATTTGTGAAAATAGACGTATGGTTCCAATTAGAAACTTGCTGAGCGTCGTCCAAAACCTTTAAATCAGTAAGACTTTGCGCATGTGAGAAGCGCTGTAGCGCGCTGAAGTTACCACTCGTGGAGCAGGTACAAGGCTGGGGCTAGATAAGAGACGGAAAAATTGCACGGGCGCCTTACCGAAACCGCTAGCCTTGTACCTGCTCCACGAGTGGTAACTTTAGTGCACTACTACGCTTCTCATGTGCGGAAAGTCTTTCTAAGAATGACTGATTAAGGGGTTTTGGAGGACGCTCAGCAAGTTTTAATTTGAACCATATGTCTATTTTCACCAATTAAAGAGTTAATTGGAGAATTTTAATTAATTGGCCGACTTATCGCAAAGATTAGCCACCCACATAATGTCCCCCCGGGCGTATAACTCACTCGCACAAACCACATAAGTGAGGCTTTCATGGCTTTTTTTAAAACAAATCGGCAAATATATATATATATATATATATATATATATATATATATATATATATATATATATATATATATATATATATATATATATATATATATATATATATATATATATATATATAAAACACCCTGTATAGTATAGTATATATATACAGGGTGTTTCGTTTTAAGTATAACACATTTGTTTAAACTTTTTAATGATTGAAAAGGGACGTATGGTTGCTATTAGAAACTTGCCGAGCGTCATCGAAAACTACTAAATCAAATCTTTTTAAAAGGATATAAAGGAGGGGCAGCATTTTACGGCGTTCTAAAAAAGCGCTTAATTTGGACGCGTTTCTAGATTTCGGTTTCTTATCGGAGCGGATCTTCTAAGCTTAAATAGTTAAACAAAATGGCTAGGTGGCGCAAGCTATCTCCCGATCCAAAGGGCTCAGCCGGATTCATCCATCATCCATCCATCCAGAGATGCGGTCCGATAAGAAACCGAAATCGAGAAACGCCAAATTAAGCGCTTCTTTATAACGCCGTAGAATGCTGCCCCTGCTTTATAGCCTTCTAAAAAGAGTTGATTTAGTAGTTTTCGATGACGCTCATCAAGTTTCTAAATGAAACCATATGTTCATCTTCAATAATTAAAAAGCCAACTAAAACATTTTAATTAATTAGCCGACTGATGGTTACGATTAGCCCCCTTTACAATGTCCCCCTGGCCCTATAACTCACCTGCTAAAACCGTATAAGTGTAGCTTTCACAGCATTTTTTTTTTTTTCAAAAAATCTATATATTAAAGGAGCGATGCAACAATTTTTGTACTGTGCACAAATACCGCTTAAAACGGATCCCTAACGTCAATGACCTATGAAACACGCGTTCGTTTCTCACCCCACGCAATAGAAGTCCCAGAAAAAAATTTAAGAAAAACGAGCAGCGTTCACCCCCTCAACTCGCAGCCAGAACAAGCGGCCACGTGATCTGGAGCCGATTATATGCCGCCAGTGTTGATCATAGCCACGCGCTGGGGTTGGCAAAGCGCAGGACACGCGCTGAGTTCCAGACATTGTTATGGCTCGGCTGTTGTCGTCGTTGCAGCGATTGGACACGGGTCACAACCCGAATGCTTCTCGAGCTAGCAATTGTCACGAGCCCAAGTCGAGTGCCCACGCAATGCTCGGGTCCAATCTATGAACCGCATTCAAATATCGTCACTTGGGTGTACTGCGATCCCCGAGTTACGTCATCAAATTTTGCGAAGGAGAGATTGAATGAAAATGATCGCTTTTGTCCTTGAAATTACACCGCAACAAAGGAGTTTCTTGGCCAATGGCATTGCGTGTGAGTATCCTTGAGTCCCAGGTGTGCCAGTAAGCTCGTGTAGAGAGAAAAACATTCCAATTGAATATCGTTGCACAGCTCCTTTAATATGTGAAATTGTGTTTGATACGGCGTGGATGGAGCGCATTTGACGGCATCTGTGGCAGTCAGCTTTTTGGCATGGATTGCTGCTAAAGTTTCTAGATAAGAGTTTCCTACAAGTAGGGACATTCTTTGAAGCGCCGACTGCGTGAAGGTACAGATTTTAGGAAGCGAATGGGGCCGCGCAAAGCAGAAGTTTTAAATTGAACTGAATGACGCTATTTTGTTCCTACAAAATGTGCTTCGTCATTCGTATTAGTTTCTATTACTAGTAAAAAGAAGCATCAAGGGACTTTCAATTGCAGCCAGTTGGTTTTGGAGTTCTGAACTTGTCTAATTTTGCGTGGAGTAGGTTATCCCGAAGGCTTTTGGGGTCTTTTATAAGTTATTCTCGACGCGTCAGGGAATATCATTTTCACCTTGTCAGGCTTCTGAAGGAAGTGCTGCTATGGACGCCGTCATCGCAAAAACATTTCCTTTTCCCTTAAACAATGTATAAAGGAAACTACCACTCGTCGGTCGGGCCACCTCCCGAAGAAGGCAGTGCTACTGCCGATACGTCGACGCAGGCCCACCAACTTTTTTTTTTTTTTTGCTTTAGGCTTACTTTATATTATCCCGCAATTTCTTGTGTTAAAAATGTTACCAATCTTTAATATTTCAATCTGCTGACTTCACCAGTTTATTAAACTTTTAATTTTTTTTCATCCTCCAGCTGCTGCCAATGCCCCCCCCCCCTCCTCCCCCCCCCCCCCCCCCCCCCCCCCCCGGGGCCCCTTTTAATTCATATATTATCGGAAGCATTTCTAATCCTTTCCCTCGCTTTAAGAGTATAAAGTGGAAACTCCTCCCACCTCTTTCCACTTTAGCAGAGCTGGAAAGGAGGTCGCCTCCTCTCCAGCGTTCGCTCTGCCAAAAGGGAGAAAAATGGGAAGAGCTAAAAAAATAAAACAGATGTGGGATGTGCGATAGGCGTGGTGTGTAAGGTTACGCGGAGTTGGGGAAAGGTCTACATTGAGACAAACGGGCCGGTGCATTAATGAGAGCACGGGAGCATGATTGATGACTTCGATCAACAGCGGGGGGTCATCTACCCGTGCACTGCGACAATTGTTTGTGTCATCCTGCTTTCGACAACATCACGATCATTGGGAGAGGAGCTGATAAGACAGCCAGAGGGTTATTAGAGGCATACGATATAAATGAAAACGGGGAAAACAGCTGCGTAAGCCAAACTTCTGTTTGCTGGCACAAAAAATAGATTATCTACTTGGACACGTGTTGACACGATGGTGATTTATTTCTAATTTACTTCGTTGAATGTTTTTCAATAAATATTTAGTTGTCAGGCTAAGCACTCCTCCTCTGTACTTCTTCTCTCCTGTCTTGGTTGTTTTGCGCGCTGCTTTATGTCTTCCCCTGTTCTCCTACTGCTTCGGTTACCTCTCGCCCCCCTGTACCTTCGGTAAGCGTGTCACGTGATTTGCCTCCGTCGCTCTGACTGGCCCGAGGGGGCCGTAGCGTTCGCTCTTTGCCATGTTACGGTGAAGTCAAGTGTAGTCTGGTGTATAGACCGCTTTCGAAAGTGATGTGGCGATTATTAGAGGGTCAGAACTAGGGCTGTGCGAATAGTGGTTCGAATCGAATAGCGTTAGCTGCGTCATTCATAGCTTTGACAATGCACGGGAAAGCCAAGACGGCCGGTTCTTTCAACAGTGCAGAAGCCGAGAATAACTATGCGCTATTCGATTCAAACCACTATTTGCACACCCCTAGTCAGAACCATGCGGAACAACTGACATCGCGGAACGTGCGAGTAATTCCGTAAGATAGCGAACCTCAGAGCGCGGCCAACGCTAGGAACCGACGAGCCAATCAAACAACATCGAAAGCGCAACGTCACTGCGCTCATCACCTTTTTCTGTGGGTGTATTTTTGCCTTATAATACAACCCAACGAATAAAGTGTTCCGTGACGTTGCGGTTTCAGTCCGCCATTGTACAGGGAGTCCACAGCTGCCAACAGAGGGCAGTCTTTCGAAAAGGGTCTACTGTCATATTGAGCGTTACATGGCGCCCGTATCGCGGTCGCTTGATGCGTTGAAACAATAGGAAACTACACCAGACAACATCATAAAGGGTTTAAATTATAATGTGTCCTAACCAGTTTGTTTTTATACGTTCTCACCTAGCAACACAGTATATTTTTTAATACTGGAATTATGCTCCTTTAAAATTGGCGGTCTAGTGTTTGTCAGTCACTTCCTGACTGGAACTATTTGTTCACGTAGCCTCCAAGAAAATCTGAACAGAAACTGTATAGGCGTCACTATGAATACTAAAGGTTCTGAAGTTGATAAACTTGTGTTGACCTAGTTGAGTTGACTTAATACATAATGTTACGAAAGTTGACTGATATGGAATTATATAAAACATATGAAGTAAATGATCCGCTAAACATATGTTCCTTTGATCGACACCACAAAATACTGATCTGTGCATTGTGGCCCAGCTAAACTACAAGGATTTTGACGGATTCGTGATACTCCACGGAACGGACACCATGGCCTACACTGCGTCAGCTCTGTCGTTTGTGTTCGAGAATCTGGGCAAGCCCGTAATCATCACAGGCTCCCAGGTGAGTGTGTTGGGCAGTTCAAATGACGCACGCTCCACGTTTGGCACTGCAGGCCCGTGGTGTGGATGCACCATAATTGTTGACCCCCAGATAAAGTTAAGTTCCACTTCTGAAAGGCGACACTCTGACATGATGGGAACACGAACAAAAAACGCGGGTCTAAAACCAGGCGCACTGTGCTGTCTGTTTCTCGTCTCTTTGTCCTTGTTTTTTGAGCGCTAAAATGTATTCCAAGTTCCAAAACCAACTAGCCCAACAATCTACTCTACTAAAACCAGGCGCAGCAAGCAGCTTTTTCATTTTATTTTTTTAAGCGAAAATGTTAGTGTGTTTGCGTATACGGTATTAACATTATATGCACGTCTTGAAACGTGGCATCTTAATGTCTTCGTTGTAGAGGGGCAATAGAGCGTCTGGTGTACGAGTGCGAACCAGTGATTATTGTAGTACACGATCGCGATCCCTGCAGGTATAGCCTCTGTCCATTTCAAAATCTGCAGCTTCGAAACTGGCACGGGAGGAACTTGGCGAAATGGCTGAGTCGAAAATCGACAGTGCTACTTTAAACACGATGACACCCGCGTCGGAAGCGCCTTCCAAAAATGTGAGGTGACACAACATCATTGGACTCGCTGCAGTAAGACAAGGGCAAGGAGTTAGGAACACGAACTTTTTCTGCCAACGATTAACGAAGTACACCAGACGGATGCACCCCCTTTCCCCCCTCTTCTCTCAAACCAAAAAGAAAAACACACACAAGAGAGAGAACAAACAGTAAATCTGAAGTGTGGGACAAGATGTTTGGCTCGTCAGATATGTCACAGACGTGCATCTTCCTTTTTGCAGATTCCTGTGTTTGAGCCACGCAGCGACGGTCGCGAAAACTTGCTAAATGCTCTCATCATTGCGGGGAACTACACAATACCGGAGGTGAGTCCAATAGTTAAGAAGCAATGGCAATGTAACGCGCGGGCACAGATGGTAGTTTCCGAGGGCTGATTTGCGTCCATGATCAACAAATCGCGAAAATAGCAAGAGCTCGTGAGAAGAGTTTGTAGAAAAGCCCCCTGGATGAAAATCCTCATATTGGCAATCATGCTTCGCTGAGGGACATTTAAGGTTTCTTTCCCGAATCCCTAACACATGGAAATGTGCGATAGTGTAGCGAACTATCCTGGTCTCAGTGATGTCCCATCAATAGGTTGTCATGCCATGGCACCCACAACATATGTGTCTTGTGGCCCACATGACTGTTGGTTGGTGCTTAGTTGACCTTGACGTGCTCTTTGCCTTCGATTGTGCTTCCAGGTGGGACTGATGTTCCACAACCAACTGTTCAGGGGCAACCGGACGAGCAAGTTCAGTATTGACCAACTGGACGCCTTTGCGTCTTTCAACCTGCGCCCGTTAGCCACCATCGGCATCAATATCGAGAGTGAGTTGTTCAATCAAGTCTAAAGTAACACGCGTTCTTTGCTGATGTGAAGAGGTGGATTGATCGCTACGGCAGGGTACCTTGTGTTACTGTTACATATGCGAAAAACTATGTGTATTCTGTCTATCATCTGATAGATAGGGAAATTATAGTTTTCTTTGAGCTGACGCCAGGGGCGGATCCGTGGGGGGGGGGGGGGGGGGGTGGCGGCCATTCCGCCCCCCCCCCCCAAACAAAGTCGACTTCCCCCCCCCCTTCCCCCACCTCGGAGGGAAATTTGACATGGGTGGACCCCCCGGCGCACAAGGAAGAATGAAAGAATAGTATCCTTACAAATTTTCCCGCCCCCCCCCCCCTTTCCCAAAGAAAAAAAAAAAAGTTTTGGATCCGCCCTTGGCTAGCGCCTTCATACACATTGACATTGACAACAAATCGCCAATGGGCGCGAGCCCTCTACTAGTGCCATTAATGCCTGTTAAATAGCCGTTTTCCAGAGCTCTTGGGTGATTATCGACCCAGACGGTGGTGCATTTCCACGATGGTTCGTTTCTTAGCTAACCCAGCCCAGAAACTAGCAGAACAAAATCCCGGTATACTTCTGGCCCTTCAAAAGTACGCGAAAGTTCACCTCCAGTTGGTGAGTTCGAATCCGGGTCAAGGTGCATTATATTCCGGAGAAGGCAACAGATATAACCGAGATTTCGGATGCACCGTCAAGAGATTTCCGGGTGGTAAAAATAAATCCTCAGTACTTCGCATGGAGCGTGCCAAATGCCTTTCGTTAGTTAGCACCCCTCCCTTTCCAGATATATTTCTTTTTATGCAACGAGTTTACCTCCCTTGCCCCTTAGCATAGAATTTCCGTGAGATACAGAACAAGAATTCCGTAAAGACTTAGTGTACCATGCATTCTTGCCATGGGGCCAAGCGGCGGTTTTGAGTAAGGGGGCTCCGCAGCTGCTGGTGAAATCAGATTTAATCTTATACTATGCATAAAATATCTAGCGCTAGGTATGCGATCGATTAAACTTTCAATGAATCGATTAATGCGTTTTAATGGCGATAAATTTTTTTAACCCGTTAATCGGTTGCCTTGTGAATTAGAAATTTCAAGAAGGGAAAATGCTGTCTTTACTTGACGCGAATTTATGCGTTTTAGGAGGCAGCACTGTTGTATTTCACGGAAAGCACTACTGTAATCCAGAATGATTATTAGGTTCATAAAGTGGTGTAAATATATTTTATAGTTCAAATATTTTAGCTGTGTTTTCTTTTTGTGGGCGTTACAGCGTCAAGTTTCAAATGAAGCTTTACATGCCACCAAGGATGACGTAGCAAGACGTATCACAAATGAAATTATGTAGTTCTGACGCTGTTTCAGATATTATGCCCAGCCGTAACTATCGCAACTCGCAAAATTATACCATCGGGAGCAATGTGTTCATTCTCGGCAAACATTTTCACTGAAAACAACAACAAAAAACTGTCGAGGCTTTTTTGCGTCAATCTTCCACACAGTCGAGTGGAACTTGTTGGAGTCACGGCACCTGTTGGATCCGGCGGCACCGAAGCTGTTCCGAGCACATGACCGCCTCAACCGCAACGTCGGGCTGCTGCGTTTCTTCCCCAGCATTACCCTCGAAGTGGTGAGCATTTTGCGAAAACAAGTCCCTTCGTGTGGTCACGGTGTCACCTGCAGTTGCTATCTCACTGGGCTGGTTACATTTCTCTCACTCAGAAAGGCGCCATATTTCGAAACCTGTTCTCACGCTCTCTTCATATCAAGATTAAAAAAAAAAAGAAAAAAAGAAGGGCTTCGTTTGTGCTTAGGAATGGGCAGCTTTTGAGCTTCGATATGCTTTGACACTAGCTGGACTCACTAGAAAGCTGTGTAGCTTATTTGATAACTCTAGCAATAGATATGCTATGGACAATCGAAAAAAAAGAAGAAAAAAGACACTTTGCAACCCAAATTTAACTAGGAGGTAGGGCAACGGACAAGTAGGCTAAGTGAGCCGAAATGTGATGCCACATCACCAGAGGACGCCTGTAGTTATGTTATTCGATCGCGCGAGTTTCGAGAAGCGTTTTTAGAGCAAAGTCTATTTTGGAGCAGCGAAAACGCTCCGGGAGAACTGGCATACTTCTCGTTCTCATTCATTCCACTGTGAGGTATACTATGTCAAGAGTCATGTGTTGGCCTATCCAACTAAGGCGCAGTGCTTCCGTGAAATCACTTTTAGCATCTATCGCGAGGGGTATTGATTTGCAAAGGTAATTTAATTAGGCACATGAATAGCATCTTGAATGCAGCGATATATGATGACGCAAAGTCGGCTTGTGGACAATATAAAATACAGCTCAACGGATTAATATTATTCCCAAGCATTCGTCCACGCTATAAGGTTAATTGTTTCAATTTAAACTTTGTTAACTGCGCCCCAAAAAGTTGCGGTTCTATCAGGAGGTAATTAGCTAAACACAAAAATGAAACCTTCAGCGAAACCAACTTCCGCCTCATTAATCTTATTCGTCAACCCTTTCACAGTACATCCTTCCATAAATTTAGAATTTGAAGAAAAGAAAAAGAAATCGCGACCAATCATCGAAATCTGCCAGGATCTCACAGTCTATTATATAAGGTAGTGACCGTAGTTTTATATTGAAGCATATTTGCTGCGAGGTAGATGTTGTCACATCAGCACTCACCGAGTTCTATCTTTTTAAGCATACGCAAAATCGCAATGTCTAGTCCGCGGGTGCAGCTCGTCTGCAGTGCACCAGTACGCGTTGAGAAGCGCACTTAACAAAGCTAACGAAACCACTCGAACAGACTACGATCATCAAGGAATGTCGCGAAACTTCCGAGTACCGAGTCGTGTTCAGTGCGAAGACCGAATCAAACTATACGTTATTCTAAACGATAGCCGAATGTTCTGAAAATTCCCCCGAGCTTACCGAAACAATCCGGCAGTGTAAATGATTAGCATCGGCATCCGTAAAGAGAAATAAGCTTTTGGGCGCTATGTTGGCGCGAATGCCTTACATTTTGGTGAAATGTAGCAAGATGTAGCAGGGTAAGTGCCGCGGCGAAGCTTGGCGCAAATGGCGCAGCAATCACATCACTGCACATGGACGACCATCTTACCATGTGACCAAACTCTGAAGACACGATAGGCGTTGGTCGCAACGTAAGACATGTCCTCCTTGGACTCGGCAAGGACAGCGCTAACGATGGACCGAAGCGAACGAGGCATCGGAGTCAATCCAGTGACACTTGGTATAGTGTTACGTGATCCGCTCATGTATAGTGCTGGAGTGGCTTGGAGGGATTCCCGCCAGACAGTTCGCCGCCGGTGGCTTTCTTTACCAACTGCACTGACGTAACGCGAGTGACTGACAGCGCAGGTTTCCCGACGCAGGTGCACGCTTTCCTGAGGCCTCCGGTGCAGGGAGTCGTACTACAGACCTATGGAGCTGGGAACGCGCCGACAGCTCGCCTTGACATCATGGACGAGATCCGCAGTGCCAATGAACGCGGCGTCCTTCTGCTCAACTGCTCACAATGTCCACAGGGAGCCGTGGATCCCGCCTACGAGACGGGCAACGTGAGTTCCAAAAGATTATGCTGTCGTCGCTGGCCCATGTTTACCTCCTCGAAAAACATTAACCAATGCAATGGTGCAACATGGCTCTGTAGTCGGTGGCAGTTTAAGCGCAGTATAGATGCTCTGCCACCCGCGTGAGTTTCCTGCCTTTTATAGCACTTGGGCGCAGGCGCAGCCAAAGCCCAAAGGAAACCAACGAGCGCTTGCTGGAGACGGAGCTTATAATGCATTCTTGGACTTGAAGGACGAGACAGCACATTTAACGAAAGGGTCAGGGTGCTGCCCTGGTGGCAATATCGGTAGTAATGGGGACGTTCAAGTAGCAGGACGATGACATTATAGTCAACTATCTTTCACCCTAGGCTATTTGGCGGGTTTACACGATCGACGTGCCACGTTTTCTGTTTTAATTATGGTACCTTGTCTTTTTTTTTTTCAGTTTAGTTTTGTTCCAAGTCGGGGGGTGTCTTTTCGGGGTTTGTTTCTCGCACAGAGTCGGCGTTTTTCAGTGTACATTTTTTGGCGTGGGGCAAAAAAATATCGGCGTTTTTCGATGCTTATGTCGAAGAAAATATGGGACACGGGGGTGGGATTCCCCAAGCTCCAGGAAACATGCCCGCGACCCGAATGCTTGGAAAACGTCCCGGTACCGCGATAAGAACCAATATAGGGGATGTGGTTGCTTCGCGGACTGTTCAGTGGGAGCTGTGTTCCGCGCGTGAACACAAAATAAAGTAGCAAATAAAGGTTTCTTCCCGTGTGAACCCCCCCCCCCCCCCCTCTCCCCACTTCCTTCCCGATTTTTCTAAAACCGGCTCGGAAATTATTTTTCCGGGTTTAGTGTAGGAGGAGGAGGAGGAGAAGGAGAAGGAAAACTTTATTCAAAAGCTCAAGTCCGAGCCGTCTTAATCTTCCGCACTGGAGGAGAGGGTTGTTCATGGCGGAGAGTCTAGGATCTCCCGCGCATGAAGAAGTAGGAGAGGCCAGAGCTCGTTTTGTAGGTCAGCAGGAGGAGCGGCTCAGTTTGCCCAGGAGTAGGGGAGGTTGGTAGGGAAGTTCAGAGGATGGAGGTGAGCGGAGGCTTGTGGCTCTTGGGCAGAGGTGTGCTCGTCCGATGGGTGTCCCCCGCGTACCTGACACGAAGGCTGTCCGGGGTGGCCCTGTGTGTAGTGATTGCGTTGTACACCGAAAGTACGGGACCCTGCAGTAGCACAACGTCCGTTCCTGGTCCCGAAAACACACGCCTCGTCGTTGAACCTTGATCCGCAACGGAGAGAGCCTCATCTGGCCCCTGCTTGATTTCAGGCCCTGCTCGAGGCAGGCGTGATTCCAGGCTCGGACATGACGCCCGAAGCTGCGTTGACGAAGCTCAGCTACGTTCTGTCCAAGACGGAGTGGACGCACGAAACCAAAAAGAAGGTATACCCAGCTATATCTACAATCTATCAGCATTATTTATCCGTGACCAAACTGGCAGTACATGGATTGGACTACTGTCTCTTCTTGAAATGGTGGTCTTCTATCTTTTATGGTGCCCCAAACTAGTACACCAACATGCCGCCCTGATGTCGCTCTGCTGCGGTGGCGCTGTTGTCGGCAGGCACAGCGCATGCGCTTCATTAACGCGAATCTGGTTTCCGTGCACGCCCAATGTCCACACTCGGTGTGGGCATAAGTACGCTAATTCGTTTGTAAACAGCTTGTCGGCTTATAGACGTTTTCAAGTACGGCCTCTGGGCGCCGTCATTTTGCTGCTTGTGTGAGTGGATCGTCTGGTAGTCGAGTATTGCTGAGGATGCAAGTGCGGCCTCTTGGTGCCGCCATCCTGCTTCTGGTGTGGGTAGATCATCTGATAGTCAAGCATTGCTGAAGCGTACCCACGGCCTTAGCAGTGCTTGACTATCAGACGATCTACCCACACCAGCAGCAAGATGTCGGCGCCCAGAGGCCGTACTTGCAAACGTCCATTTCGAACGCCGGAGGGGACGCGAGTGGACTCCTCTTTTCTCGTCTGCTCTCCAGTGTTTGTTCTGCCAAAGTGCAACGAGTCGAGGGCTTCGTGGGAGGGGCCTGTCCTGGTTCTCTTAACCTGCAACATACTACAGTACTTCCTACACTAGTATGTAACTTTTAACCGATACCAAATTAAATTAGCAATACATCTCTCTAGGGCAATCTTAGCAGTTAAGAAAGATGGCATAACATCGAAATAATTTCTTATTGTGACCTCTGCTATGTGGGCGACTGGTGGGGAGGATATTACCAAGGCTCCTCACAGGGGTTAAGCTCTGCTTGCTGTAGAAAATTGGGTTGTGTGTATGTTTATACAGCCTAGAACTTGGTCTGCCTCACAGGGGCGACGAGTCTCCCAGCTGTAGATGAGCAATTTAGCCAGTGCAGTACAACCGCTAGCCTGGGGTCTTTAACGTGCACAACGCAGTAGTGATACACGACCGCACGCCGGTACGATGCTCATCCAGATCGAAACGGGCAGGGGTGGGGATTGAACCCAGGATCCCTGGGTTCTGCAGCTGCTTGCAGTAGATTATAACTCCGTAATGTTTCTAACCCGACAGCGTTAAGGAGCTCGAGTCGCAGAAAAACCGGCGTCGGTGGCGTCGTGACGGGAAAATCCTGATTGGTCGATAGGGTCATGACGTCACAGCCACATGACCTCGCGCGGGACTTTCAAACAACCCACAACGCTCACGTGTGAAATGAAAGTTATTAAACAACATTACGCAAGAGTGTGACGGGCGCGGGACAACCGAGAGGCCCCCCTCCCGTTGCCAGCTAGCCCACTGCTAAACCAAGATTATGGAAATGTCTGTTTCTCAGCTTTATTTTGGCATCGGGACATAGGGCAGGTCTGCAAAATCCAGTGTTCTCTGTTATTAGGGAGTTTTGATAAATTGCCCCAATTAACAATACCGGATACTCCGCTGACACCTTTTGCTTCAGAAGTATCGGAACTCTCTAGTTTTAATTGATTGTTTTCCTCATTTTGTTAACGCAGTACTCCACCGGCGCCTTCGCGCATGCGTTGCATGCGTTGTCGGAGAAGAAAAAAAAAAAAACAGAAAAAAAAAAACGATGCCTTATCAGCTCGGAAAACATGGAGCGTAAGCTCGCGGTGCAGAACCCAGGGATCCTGGGCTCAATCCCTACGTTTGCCTGATACGATCCGGAGACAATCTGATAAACCGACATTGCGGTTTTTTTTTTTTTTTTTTTTCGGTCCCCACCATTTATTGAGCAGAAATCGTATATTATTAATACTAACGTCATAACCGGCGTGCGCTCCTGTAATCACTAATGAGTTTTTCAGTTTGACAACACGTATACGCCCTTTGAGACAAACTAGCTTCCCGACGTCTAAATATATCCATACAACAGCTTTGACTTTTACAGCGCAGCTGTACTGGGCGAGTGTCCTGTTTGCGAAAACGAACGCCGGGAAAGGGCGAGTACAGGTGCTCTAATCTGGACACTTCGAAACAGTCGGCGAGAAATCTGGCAGCCGTGATTAGCCGGCGCCGTAATGGACCTTTTCCGAGAAGTGTTCTGCGCACGCGCGAGCGCCCGATGCCAAGCGGCGGAAGTCGGAACGAAAAATCGAGGAAATTCCGAAAAAGGCTGTATATCAGCGAGTAGAACACGTAACTGCAGCATATATATAATTGTGTTACACAAAAAAAGAACGTCGACGGAAAGGAAAACACGACGTTTGGGTGGACACCACGGATGCGCCTCTTTAAAGTTGCGTTGGGCAGGCGCCGCTGCTCAGAGAGTGAAAAAACTGGTAGCGTAGCTCCCATTATCGATTGGTAGCGCAGGTAGGTCACTTCCTCGATTTTTAGTTCGTGCAGCCACCGCCTGGTGCCGTCGGTATGTGGAAAAGGTCCATTGATTTTGGCGCCGGTCCAATCACAGCCGCCCGATTTCTTGCAGACTTTTTCGCCGTGTCCAGATCGCCCTTTCGCCGATCATAGTCGCGGTTGAGGCGTAGCGCGTTCGGCCAATCGCGATTGCGCGGGGGGTCATGTGATCTCCCTTCTCGCCCCCTTGCTCTTTCTTGCTTCCGGTCGCCCGTCCCCTCGGCGCTCTAAACTTTTACGTGCAACAATGGAGCGGCCGAAGCGTACACCGGAGCAAGCAGCGACTGCTCGACGGCGTAAACGCGCCCGAGAGAGAACGTCGTCGATGCGTAGGCGCCGACTATCTCACCCTGGGTGTTAGCATGGAACGCATTCGACGTCAAGGCCATGCTGCGCGTGGACGTAAAGCGGCACGTAGAAGAGAACGTTACCGAGTGAAGAATTAATGGACACCATGTTTGTGGGGGGCGACCAAGCAATTTGTGCAGTGCGTCCGCGAGAACGCATTGGGTGCTAGCTGTTCTGTGTCGATCAACTGTAATTTACGCGAGACCTGGTGTCCTCGCCAGCGGTTTGCCCAAGATTTTTCAGTCGTCGAACCCTGACAGCGACCCGACTGCCTTCACGGCGCCTATACAATGTTTGTGCGCAGGCAAGTAACAATCACCGCTTGATGAAAAAAAAAGAAGATATGTTATAGTGCGCGACGCAACATCACCAAAATTTCAACTCAATCACGACGCAATATAGTAATCGAAATGTCACACCAACTGACGCTGTCCATTTATTGTTCTTTATGTAATATTGTTTTAGAGCGCAGCTCTCACCCGTTTCCGGCTTCAGCGGCATCGGCGTCGCCGTTGGCGTGACCGCGCGGTGCATGATGGGTAAATTTCCCCGCTAAATCTAGCGGAAATTTTTCCCCGCTAAAGCTAGCGGAAATTTTCCCCCGCTAAATTTAGCGGAAAAGTTTTCCCTGCTAAATTTAGCGTAAAATTTTCCCCGCTAAATTTAGCGGAAAAATTTCCCCGCTAAATCTAGCGTAAAATTTGTCCCGCTAAATTTAGAGGAAACATTTCCCCGCCAAATCTAGCGAGAAATTTTTTCCGCTGAATTTGGAGGAAAAATTTCTCCGCTAAATCTAGCGGAAATATTTCCCCGCTAAATCTAGCGGAAAATTTTCCCCACTAAATTTAACGGAAAATTTTCCCCGCTGAATCTAGCGTAAGATTTTCCCCACTAAATTTAGCGGAAAAAATTCCCCGTTAAATTTAGCGGAAAAAATTCCCCTCTAGATTTAGCGGAAAATATTCCCCGCTAAATTTAGCGGAAAAATTAATCCACTAGCGGAAAGAAATTCCCCGCTAGATCTAGCGGAAAAATTTCCCCGCCAAATTTTGCGGAATATCTTCCCCTAAATGGGAGGCGAGCAGGAGAGGAGGAAAGGCATAGCCCCCTCTCTGCACCTTCCCCTCAAGAGCTGCGCTCTAATTCGGTGTTACAGGGAATTGTAAACGGCTTTCATTTTTTTCCTCATTCACAGATGCTGCAAGAGAACCTTCGTGGAGAGCTGACAGTCTCAGCCCCGAACAAAAAGACAGGACATTAACTGCATCTTTGTATTCGTCAGCCATATAGTTCGGTGTATGTTGTACCGGCAGTTGTCAACGACGTTACACACTTTTGCCCGAAATGCTCATATGAAAAAAATTCCTTTCTGGGCACAATAGCTTCTCCAAACGTCGCTGACATGCTATTCCTAGTTAGTACTTGCCATCTATTTAATCTCTCTTTATGTGCGGCTTCTACCGTGTTATATCGCGACGGAAAGAATAAATATATGCAAGCTGTAGACGATGTAGACTTTTTTTTTTTTTTTGGCGTTATCTAACGAAGGGGCGAATGCCGCATGTGCGGCTTCTACCGTGTTATATCGCGACGGAAAGAATAAATATATGCAAGCTGTAGACGATGTAGACTTTTTTTTTTTTTTTGGCGTTATCTAACGAAGGGGCGAATGCCGCAAGAGTGTATTAGGCTTTTGCTGGTTTTAGTCCCACTATAGAGCCCTGCACTTTTGCAAATAAAGCATTCAATTACTATTTTTGTCGTCTTGTGTCATTAATCGTAAGATCCGATTAGTTTAAAAGGGATTTGCGTATTTAAACAAACAAAACAAAAAGCGAAAAAAAAAAAAAAGAATTGGCAGCGACTTTTTTTTTTAGGAACCTATGACCAGCTTTTTCTGGAGGGAAGAACCTATATTTTTATAAATTACGAGGAAATTGATTTGCTCTCACGTGACCAGGGAGGAGAGAGGGAATCAAGTGGGGAGGAAGGGCACTAGAAGGGGGAGGCAGGGAGGAGAGATTGGGAGAGGGAAGAATGGGAAGGGGGATTGCTGTTATATATTTCCCAGCTAAATTTAGCGGGGAAACTGAATAGGTATGTCACATCATGACCAAGAAGGGAGGTCACGGTAGGAGAATGGGGGACGTAAGTGTGGGGGGAATGGGGAGGACACCCTCAGGGGAAACTTTCCCCACCTCTTTCCACTTTAGCAGGGCGAACGCTGGAGGGGATGTGACCTCCTCTCCAGCAACTGCTTTGCTGAAGTGGAAAGAGGTGGGAGGAGCTTCCACTTCACTCTTAACCTGTCATCGACTGTAGGGTTACCTAGGAGGGGGTAGGGATGAAGAAAGGGAGGGGGAAAAAAGGAGGGAACTGGTATGTTACGTGACGTGCAATTCCCCGCTAAATTCAGCAGGGAAACTGTATTGACGTATGGGTCAGTGTCAATTTTCCCAGGGTGTAGAGGTCGCATGACGATTTCCTCGCTACATGTAGCAGAAAATGTGTGGACGGACAGACATACAAATGTTTGTGATTAGGTGTTCCAATAAAAAGTTTTTTGATTTAATAAAAAGGTGGCTGACTGATGTGAAAGACAAATCAGATCAAGTGTCCTATTCGCATAGTAAAGCATATTATTTGGATTGCATGACGATGCATTTCGATAATTGGTTTAACCGGACCATACAATTAGCACAACCAGCATTTTGTTTTTGTGGGCTAGATTATGCGAAAATGACCGGAGGAAAATAAAGATTATTATCACAAGGGAAACATGTCGCTCACATTTCATTGAGAGCGGTCCAGCTTGTGAAGCTAGAGTGAGCCAATGTGTTCTTCCACTGAACCACTAGGACTGCTATAACACGGCGCAGGCAGGTATTATCGCACAACAGTACAGCTGACCGAAGTATATTCCATTTGTAGTCCGAGATTCACCTATCTCATTGCCCCTCTGTATCTGCATGTATGCAGGTCTTCACACAAATTTTTACTTCTGGGAACAAACTGCTAGTACAGAATACTACCTTAGCTGGTGCTTTTATTGGCTCTGCCCTGTCGGGTTTTAATTGTTGTCACACTTTTCTTGACGACCTTAATGTTACGTCTTCAAGTGGCCGTGCTTGGAAGCACTGCCTGTTCTCAGAAATTGTGTAGTAATCGTATCACCAGGTGTACCATTGCAGTCGTAAGCAAGGAATATTTCATTTGTGCACAGTATAGTTTGTGTTCATATACTCTGGGGAAAAATGAATAAAGCACAATGCCACAACTGGTTGGTGGTACGTAGATGCACGCACGGGAGTGTTGAGGAAAGTAATTTTTCAATACAAGTTCCTTCTACCGTCACAAGGGGGCACCAATAACCAAGGTTGGGTTAGAAGTATACTGCTTGAAGGCTTAACCTTACTTTCTTTTAAATGCCGACATACAGAACAGTCTTCTGCAAGGATGAAAACAGGTTCCCAGTCTCTTCCCCCATCCATTCCTTCTCACACCCTTCTCGCAGGCCTCTCAGGTACACCCCGCAGGAAGGAGGTCTCCCTCTTTCTCAAACGGAAAGGAGGAATAAAGGGAGTTTTCTACTTTCTGGCTGCTCGGCAGTCTACAAGCTTTGGCTAGGTGGCGCGAGTTGCCGCCCGATTGAGGGGTTCAGCTGTATCCATCTATCCATTCATAGGCAGACTCTAGATTCTGCTATGCATGACTGCAACCCCCACAGTGAAGGCCTTGTCAGTTGTTGCAATGCACTGAAACACAAAAGGACGGCCCTTATCCACAGGACCGGGAAGTCCGTCTAGTACACGCTATGCAACGGCAATTCTTTATTGACTACGGACTAATTGACTATGTCGATAGACTCTGAGGCCACCCCTCCTGCAGTTGCGAGGGGTAGGCGGCCAGGAACTGCCGGAGGCCCTGGAGCGAGCGGTGCCTGTGGGAGATGCGGTTCTTGGCGTCCGAGCTCATCTCGGCGTAGGTCTGCGACTCCGACTCCGGCTGGAAGCACGAGTCCCAGCCGAAGTTGTTGGCGCCTCGGGGAGCCACTATAGTGCCCTCCGTGCGTCCGTGGAACAGACGCACCTCGCTGTCCGGTCCCTCTGAGTAGGCGAAGGTGCACAAGGCGTATGCGCTCTTGTCCTCAAAGCCCTGCGTGTCGAAGAGGGACGTGAAGCTTTGCCCTCTTCGCTTTGCAGCAGTATTGCCGAAACATCGGGTCATCAATTTATGCAGCTTTCTTCATCGGTCTATTTCTATCATGTACAGGATGTGGCTGTAAGGACCAACATATTTAGCACGCCTTGTAAAATTCGAATTCCAAACATACATACCTGAAATTAAGCATGCAAACATAGTTTCGCTAGAAGTTTTATGTAGTAACTGGAGACACGGAACAATAAAAAAAAAACGGACAAAACAACACCAAGTTTCAATGAAAGCTCTTCACCAGCTTGCCTGTGTTTTTACCCTCTCTTCGAAGTTTTATGTCTATTTTTTTTAGAGTCCAACTTGAAAATAGTAAAATATTAGGAATGCAGCAAAATCGGAGGCCTGTTTGTCGTCTGCACACTGGTTTATGAGCTCGCTTTCGGGTGGCTTGCTGAATGCAAAATGCTAAGAATCCAAGGAGGCTGGAAATGAGCAAGATAGTCGTGATAATAATCCTTTTAACGAAATATATGAACAATGACTACCTGGGAGCAGGTTCACTAACCAGTGTGCAGACAACAAGCATCCAGTATAGAGCTTTCCAATGTTTACAAAATCACAGTCCAGCGTGCGATCTTCACAGTCCAGCACGTGCATGTTTGTGGCTTTGGAAAGCGAGCAAAGCACGCACCATACGCATGAACACTCAAAATGGCACCGGCCACACACCTTTTTTGGAAAGGTCTATAGGGTATAGGAAATGCACGGTCCTTATCCATGTCACTCTATTATTAATATTTTATGACCTCTGACTTGAACTCTTAAAAGGATAATTATAAAACTTCTTGCAAAACTATGTTAGCGTGCCCAACTTCAGGTATGTACGGTTGGAATTCAAACTTTGGAAGGCGTGCGAAATCTCTTGGTCCTTACGGCCCCACCCTGTATATGACGAAAAATAAGACATCATTATTATTGATAGAGGTGTGCAAATATAAAGGACCCACACTTCCATTTGCTTACGACCGAGTTCTTCTGATTTCATACGACGACAGAACACATAGCACGCTGGCGCCATCTATGAGGCGACCCAGCAGCTGCATTCCACTAGAGCAAAGGTTTTGAGGTATTTGCGAGTTAAAAAGTATGGATCTATAAGAAACAGTCGTTTATAAGATTGTCAAAAGTGTTTCAAGCCAAGAATGAACGATGCATGAAAAAAAAATAGGAATGGTGTGGAACAAACGTTTATTGAAATTCTCTGATGGCTACGCTTTCGTACCCGTCAGAATGCAAATACCAAGTCTTCCGCGGTTAGCCGATAAACGGTGCCACCGCATTCTTTCATCATAAGGGATCCCAAGAACTTCTAAGGCACTAGGTTGTAAGAACTTGCAAGTGCGTGAACAAGCCTCGCTTTTGACTGCGAATCAAATACTAAAACGTTACTGCACGTTGAATTCAAACACCTTCGAATACAAACACTTCACATTTAATTTGAATTCGTCCCAGCTACTTGAAAGCCACCATCATACTGTTGCTAACACGTCTTACAAAACACAGCCTGCAGACATGTTCAAAGCATGAGTGAAGCAAACATGCTATGACCATGCCTGAGGCATGTCAGCGATCATGTCTGCAGCAAACAATGTCTTTTGCATGATGTACGAGCAGTATGACTGCAGTTTAAGAAATCATAGCTAGATGTACAATTTTAATATGTAAGACACATTTCGCAAACTTGTATTAAGAAAAAAAAGAAAGGCCGAGATGAGTAGGGTGAAATAGCACCACACGACAAGCAGAGCAGTGACTACCTCAATACAGTGACTACCTCAATTATTTCAATACAGTGACTACCTCAATTATTTCAATACAGTGACTACCTCAATTATTTCAATACAGTTTGAGGCTTCCTTTTACTACACTCTCCTTTGAAACCGGGGTTGAACTACAAATCGTAACCAAAAAAGGCTGACCTACAATAGCAAGCGAAATTTCAGAAACTATTCAGCCGAGATGCTTTGGTGCGTCAGTCGTTTTTCCTGCCATGCTGGCATAAAGCAGTGAAGCTTGACGCGTGTGCACCAGTGCGAAGCGGTGAAGTCCGGCGCCAGAGCACTGGTGCGAAGCATGGCACGAGAAATGGGAGAATTCAGAAGGCATTATTCTTAACTTTCAAATATTCAAAAATCTCCGACAAATAGAATCGAATAGCACTCCCAGTTCAAATTATTCGAAGTTTTAAATATTTTGGAAATGCCTACCGAGTAATTTTCCATCTTGAATGTGTCCAAGGACAGCAGACCCTTCATGTTACAAAACTTGAAAGTGTAAAACAGCGAGGACGAGGACGGGAACAGGACATCTTTCAATGAAGGATGTCCTGTTCCTGTTTTCGTCCTCGCCGTTTTATACTTTCAAGTTTTGTATCCATTAACCAACAGCTCGTTTTCAGTAGTAACCTTCATGTTAGTCTCAATTCACATAGTTAGTTAATAGTAGAAGACAATCCATTACATTGCAATCAGGTGAAGTAACACCATATACATAACTAGACAACACATGGGATTAGATAAAAGCATAAAAAGATCTGAAGAAAAACAGCAAAACCAGATGAGGTTTAACTAAATTTACATAAGAAGATAGAATTACTCGTGTTTAAGAAACCATTACGATGGTAAATGTTTTTCACTTTAGTAACACACAAGAAACTCGTGATCCTATGGTCGACAGCACAAATAACAATGGACTATTTCTTTGTTTCATAAGGTGCGTAAAAGCCCGTTCACATGCTTGCGTTTGCTTACGACCGAGTTCTCGTGATTCCTTACGACGAGGGAACACACAGGCATGCTGGCGCCATCTATAAGGCAACACTGGAACTGCATCTCACTAGAGCGAAGGTTTTGTGGTATCTGCAAGATCAATATGTACACACTAACTATAAGAAATTATGGTTTATAATATTGTCAAAAGTTCTCCAAACCCCCCCAAAAAAAACGAGCAAAAAAAAAAAATTGTATGGAAATGCCAATTGTTTCATAGCACTGATGCATTCCTAGTGCCAGGAATAATTTCAGTCAAACAGTTTTATTGTTTATATATAGCAGACACTTTAAATCAATGCCACCATTAAGATGAATGGGGTGGCGCAGGCCAGTACACTGTATCGACCGCATCGTGCCCTGCCAGATGCAATTTTATTGCTGCACGGCACTGTGCTAGTGGAAGAACGCGAAGGGTAACCTTTGAAACAAGAGGAGGTTTCCTGTTTTACTGCGAAAATAGAGCTGCCGAGAAAAATGCACCTATATAAACCGCAGTCCATTACGTGCATGCACCACGCTCGAGATGTCGTATGGAACGATATAGTATGCGCGTGCATGAAGATTCATTATGAGAGCTTGCACATTAAAAGGAACCTATAGCTACGAGCACACGCACAAAGCTTTCTCTTAGGAGACTTTATTCGGGTGTGGCATACGAGCAAATCTGGAATTTGGGTGCTGTCTTCTTCCAGATGTCCCTTTTTTCCTTTTCAAGTGATCGCTTTGTTCAAAGCAACACACAACCTCCAGCGGTTCCTAGTATTTTTGCTTTCAACATTGACAAAAGGCCTCCAAGAACGGAAGCGTGTGTCAAACTTTGCCACAGCTGACCAAGCAAACAATCTCTACTGCTGCTGCCGAAGACGTGGTAAGGGACGCAATTGTCGATGCGGATATCACAACGCCAGCAAGGTGCGGCAACTAACTCAATCGCAGATATAATCTGTGCTGCAAACTAAGGTGCGACAGGCAACCCTGTCGCCAATACGAACAACACCGCCATTGAAATTGCAATCAAACGAATCACCAATGTAAGAATGAAAGAATGAAAAAAGTCACCGTTTCATGCGAAGAAATTTTCACATAACTTTCACTCACAAGGTTGAACTGTGCCGTCACATTTGCGAAAATCCCAAAAGGCCTGGCGTGCCACGTGCCGACTTATGGAAGTCCTTGGTACGCCCCTCCCATTATGTTTCCTTCCGCCACCACAGGACATACGCGAGCAGGTGCAGGTTGCCAAGGCAACAACGCTTGGAGCAGCAGAGTCGCATGAGCCCACAGAAATGGGGGAGAGGGTATCGCATTGGCTAGCTTGCAAGGCAGCCCGTTTCTCATCCCTCTCCATTGTGCCAGCTTCGTCGTCTGCTACACCAACGCTTTGTCGAACCTACTCAAACCCTGCCACGGTTGCGGCACAAAATAAGCAGATTCGGTGACGCTGCAAGGTGTGAAGGTTTGCCAGGTTATGTCCAGTGGCACAACACAGACGAGAGCTGACCCGGGTACCACAGGCAGCACAGATACGGTATGCCAACGACGTACGACGTTCCGGATGATGGCTGGGAGAGTGGATGCCGTGACTCACGTGCAGTCACAGAGATGCAACAAGAAATCGCTTGATCTGTATTGAGGGCTCCCAAAACCTCCTGCCGTTGTGGTGCTGTCGTATTGCAACAGGTCTATTTTGGTCGCTCGTCTTGTGGGTGACATAGCAGTCTTTACTTAATCCATAGACTATGAACTTGGAATGTCAACCCAACTCCCGGTCCACAATACTAGAAAATTGGAACCAGCAGCGCTTGAGCTCGCAATCACAGTTGTATACATCTTAATGGCAGTGCCTTGCCCAATCATAGTGGCCAGCTGCACGTTCGAGCACCGTCAAGGCAATGCCACATGGTTGCCAAGAGCAATTTCGGAAAGGGTCTATCGTGGATTGAAACAGTGCCACAAAAATGCTCGAATTTATCTCGGTTCCACAGATAACGTTGGTATACACAGAATGTTTCCGGGGCATTCTTCGGGGTCTGTGGCGGTCCTTGCCGGTTTCTTCTACTTTTCTTTGCTTATTGCCTATCATTTTATTCCAAGCCCTGTCCTTTTTTATGTGATGGTGGGCCCATTGCAAAGTTGTTATTTCTTCCCATAAACTGTATGAAAGCGAACGCCGTAACACCAAACGCTGGTGTCCCATGTTTGCATTCGAACCACCGTGGTAGAGAGACAAAGACAGCTAACTGCGCATATCCACTAGTTGACACAGTCGAGGAATGTTGAGCTCACAATCATGGGGCTGTGGGTTCGATTGCCATTGGGACACAATTAGAATTTCTTCCTTTCTCCTCCATTTACCACCTTTTTGTACAGATTGTCCTCCGAAGTACGTGTTAGACATTTTGTAGCAGTTTCCATGATGTTCTGTCAAACTTTCCTCAGGGAGCCCAAACCTAAAAACATTTCCGTGTCGATACATCTTGAAATACTCCTCTGCATGCTCTCTGTGTAGAGCGTGCCGCGAGCGAAGCTTACCGCCAGGAGCCTGTGCAGTCCCTCCGGCCCCAGCTTGGTGAGGAACCACTTGATGTAGGGCCCCGGCAGGCCCCCGAGGGCGTTGAAGCAGAGGGAGGTGTCCTCGACGAGCACGGGACCCCCAATCACCTTGGCCGCCGCTTCACACTTGGCCCGACAGATGGCGTCGGCTTCCCCCTGGTACTCGGCAAGGTCCACATCTCTGCTCTCAAACTGCACATAAGACCATAGCGTTCAGATGATTGATCTCATAGTTAATATATTAATCTAGAGGGAAAAGTTCCACGCATTTCTGCCATATCGGAACAGCGGGGCATAGAGCCGGACAATGGCGATCCCAATGGGACTATTTTGCTGGCGATGGTTTGATAAATGCAAAGAAGCAGGAAAACAACACTTGCAAGGTCTGTATCAAGTGTTTTTCTAAATTTATTTTTCACTAAAAAATATGGTGTAGTGCATTGTGTAAAAATAAAGTTGATGAGCAATCGAACAACTTCAACTCATTGCGGCAAAACGAACACACTTAATCTACACAGAGGGCAAGTGTTCCAAAAGGCGTCTTTTGCGCGTCGGAACACAGGGGCGAGCATGCAAATCAACAGGCGACAAAGAGAATGTGCGATGACGAGGCAGCCAAACGCATGCCACCACTGGCTGAGATGGGGGATTAAGGGCACGGCGGTGAACAAACGCACAAGGTGCACAGAGAGCAGACGAACTTGCACACCGTATTAACTTCTTTAATTCTCCGCTTTTCTGTAGCTCTCTTTCTCATTCTTTCTCTGGGGACCACCAATGGTGGCACTCGGTATTCGCCACTTTCTGCTCCCGTCTTTATCCCATCGACAAATCTAGAGGAAAAGATCGCCACCTCTGTGTGTGTTGCGGCTAACTCGAAAAGCGGTGAGTAGGGCCCAGTGGGCCCAGACTGCTGCCGATGCTTCAATAAACACAAAGCAAAACATCGCTTGAAAAGTTACTACCCAATTCTTTCTCAGCTTGATCTGGCAAAGGGAAATTGGCATCATGTGTTGCATAAGGGCTGATTTACACACTTGCGACTCGCGACTGCCGAGCGCCTTGAAACATCAATCTTGTGACGAGCGAACAGACTGGCACCGTCTATTGGGTAGCTAGGAAACACTTGCAGGTTCCGTATATCAATATTTTTTTTCACGCCTCATTTTTTTCTTTTTTCTTGAAAATTTTTTGACAATGTTATAAATGACCAATTCTCATAGATAGGATGCACATTTGATGATCTCACAAATACTGGAAAGCCTTCGCTCTAGTGAAACTCGGCTCCAGGGTTACCCCATTGATGGCGCCAGAGTGCCAGTGCGCTCTCACATCGTAAAAGATCACGAAGAACTCGGCCGTAAGCTAACACAAGTGTGTGAACGGGCCTTAAAAGGAAGTAAAATTGATGAGTGCACAACGGCTTTAACTCATGGTGAAACAGACACACTGAACTTTTCGTCCTTCTCATTCGTTCTCCCGGTACCACACCAGTGTCACCGCCTACAATTTATCGCATTCCCCAATCCCACCCTTACCACCCTGCACGAGATGGTACCCCGATCGTTCAAAACAAAGCGTGACCACTAAGCGAGTATTGCGAAGAAAAGACGATCAGTCGATGAGCGCGTTGTTGTACCCCTCTTTCCATTCTGGGGAGGCAGGCTGCAGTGAGCCATGGCCTCTCCAAACACAAAGCATCGGCGTTGACTTTGTCGGCTTTGCAAGATGGGAGCGGTCGAATGCCACGGCAATGCAGTGCGTGGCTGCAAACGCCACGTTGTGAGGTTCGACCAAGTCTCTCTACGTTCCACCTGTCCCGTAATGTCTCGACACCGAGCACAAGTGCCTTCCGACTTGGAGCAAGTGTCGGTCGTAGAACACCGTCAAAGGGGAACAGACTTTGCGTCAAGCAATACCACACAAAAGACAAGGCCTGCGTTAGTGGACCCCCGACCCACTCCCAGCGGCACACACGCCGAAGCCAGACGAGTACGACTTGTGCGTCTCAGCGTGGCCACATGCTGGAGTTGCGCTCGTTGCAATACGCTGCAAGAGGCGCTGGCAGCGACAGTGACGCGAGCTAAGTGGCACTGCATGTATTAACTGGTACTGACCTTTGGAGTTGAGTGGGGGAGAAATGCAGTCCTTGTGTTTTAGGTGGTACTGCATTGAGGCGGTCAGGTTGCACCACAAGACCATCTGATATTATTTGCTACAGTTAGAGGCTGCCGACTATACTCGAGATTCTGCAAAGCAGAAGATCCTCCTCACCATGGGGGAGGAGGAAACAGGCAGCGGGAAACAGACTAAAGTAAACGGACGGAAACAACTATTTTAAACTTCGACTTCAGTAGCAAACCGAATCAAAGACAGGCCTTCACTCTTAATGGCCTTCCTTTGGGTAATTATGTGTGGATTTCCTCCCAGGTCTTCACACTAATGAAAATTTATTGCAGTTGGGCTGGGAGGAATTCCCATGGTGACGTCTTGACCGCGGGCCTTGTGACTCGGTGAACCACATGACGTAAGCATGGGTGACCTTCTTGACAGTTTTGTGACAGAATCCCACTACATTGACAGACATAAACTTACACCGGCAAGCCTGAAATATGTGCAAGCATGCACCATTGGTGGGCCTGCAGTCTCTCGGCGCTCGTGAAGCAGGCACGAGACGAGTGATTGCAAGCCTTCGAAAGGTACAGTCGGCACGAAATGAAACGCAAACAAGGAGCGCATGGTTTTCGACCCACGCTGAGTCACCTAGAGACGCAACACCGAAGGTTTGGATGCACTGAGCAAGAGTCTAACACATCGAAGGAGGAGCCATCTTCTTGCAGCTCCCATCTGGTTCAGGTGGTGCAGCATCCAGCGAAAACCATGCACCCACTGTTCGCGTTTCATTCCGTGCCGAGTGTACCTTTGTGCGCACGCCGCGGATCTTTGCGGCTTGTCGGTGTCGGTTGTTTCTGTTTGACGCTCTATTGGGACTTCGGGCATGGGTCCATATCACAAGAGCGAATGACATTTTAGCGAACGGCGACATTTGAGCGAATGGACGTTTTAGCGAATAACGGGGGCGCGCGTTAACCCATCCGCCGCGCTGCGCTTTACGCCGCTTCGCGGCGACAGTCTGAGGCAACTCATTACAAAAATATGAACCCACTTCTCCAAAAGATAGTCGATTAGTTGACGTAGTTGTCGACTGAAGCCAAGAAACGGGTCTGTGCTGCTTTCTCTCTAAACTCTGCGGAGCGTAGACACACGAATCCCGGCATGCGAGCGAAATTAGATAAGTGCTTTAGAGCTCTGATGTCGACCGCGTGTAAAAGAGTAACAGGACTTCCGCCTAGTGTACTCACTTCAAATCCGGGTACTTTTCCCAAAATGTTGAGCGCTTCTTTGAGCTTGTTGCGGTTGCCCGTGACAAACACCACGCGCTTCACCATCGCAGATTTCTCGCTGACCTCTATGACGATGGTTGAGTTTAGCGTGTTGGATTAATACTGAAGACATGTCTGTCTCTATCTCCTGTTTGTGTTTTGCTTTCTTATTATTGACTAAATGAAGATTTTTAGCGTGATTTTGAGCAACTCTACCTCGTTCATTTGTAGCTTGTTGATATTTAGTCACCCTCCACGTGGATACATAAAAGCACTCGGTTTTCTTTTGAATTAGGATGAAGCTCGCGCCACCTGGTGGGGCATAAATCGGCTAGAGTTTTTTGTTACAAACACCTTATGTCGGACTTGTACCACAGAGAGGGCTAGAAGCGCGAGCTCATAGCGTTGGGAGCTGCTCTTAACGCACGAGAGCTTGTGCCGCCGTGATGTGCCCTGGAGCAAGGAGCTCGTTGCTAGGGCTTCGGTCCAGACGCAGCCGATGCTACAAGCGCGAGCATGTGGCCCAGAACAGTGCTTGCACTGCACGAGCGCGCGTGCTTGGCACGGATGCTGAAAGCCCGGAGCTCGCGCTTGTAGCTTTTGCTGCGTCTGGACCGAAGCTGAAACGAAGTATAGTGAGGGTGGGCGCAACTCAAAACCTGGAGAGCGTTTGCAATTTAATGGCGGCGCCTGAGGGAGAGGATTGGGAGAGGATATGCGCCAGTGTTGCCTGCACGAGAGCAGGCGCCCGCTCTGTTGCAACTCTGTTGCTCCATGCGCCTTTCCTCCTCTCGCCTCCCATTGCAAGCAACGAGCGCGTTGGCTGGCGCAGCCTCTCTCGCTTCCTTCTCGCTCCGGAGAAAGGAGCGGAGAAAGCAAGGTTGCCAGACAACCAGCAACGTCCAAGATGGCGGAATTTACCATTTTTCGCGTTAAAAAAATACTTAACCTATCGCAACAAAACTGGTGGCTATGGAAAAGTAATCATTTATGCCTTGCGTAAATTATTCAAGCACCTTAATGGGCTTTTATGACCTGAGTTAGGAAAGAAAACGACCCTTTGCTCCATAGACTCCCAGCATCTAGCAGTTGCACCCACCCTCACTTGAGCCTCCCTACTCGTTGCTCACTTGAGGTTGTTGAATACTTTGTACAGAATATTCATGCGATATGTGACCGGTTTGAAATTATAAATATTTTAATTTGAAACACCTTCCATGGTCTGTTCAGTCTTGTCATTTCACTCGTGTAAATGGAGCTTGCTGGTAAAGTTACGGTGTTGGAGGAGAATTACATAAATGACGAGGTCATTTCAATAATGAGGTTTCTTGATGGTGAAGAGCTCATGGAACTTCGGTGCACATACCTAGAGAAATAGACTTAAAAATAAGCCCGTTCGTGCTATTTTATTACACAATTCAGTAAATTTTATTGCGATGGCATGCAAGGGTTAATAACAACTTCTCCATAAAAAAAAGCAAAAACAACAACAACATATTACGCAAAACAAGGAAGCGTTACACATAAAGGGCAGAACACGGAAGATATGCTCTCCGTGTTCTATCCTTCATGTGTAATTGTTTCGTATAATTTTATCCAATACCAACGCACTCCCCAAAATACAGTAAGAAAGCGTATGTATGCAGAAGAGTTTTTCTGTTGCGGATATCGACCAGGTTTGATACCTTCACAGGGAAATGGCAGTATGAATGTGCACGAAAACTACAATCAGTGCTATCCACAGTTGCCCACGCGTGCTCGGATGTCTAAAGATGCCATCGGTATTTGCTTAAAAGAAATATAAATAAAATACAACAACAAAAAAAAAAAACTTGAATATTTTAAAATGCGTTGCCACTGAACTATACAGTCGGGACTTAAGACAAGAAATAAATAAGTAAGAATGGCGGCACACGTTTTTATGCCCCTTTAGACAAGAAGAACACAGAGGACTGTATTCTGAGCGTAGCTCGCATGCTAAAACCTACGTCGCCATCCACCGTCTTGCTCTTCTTTGCCTGCGAGCCGCCTGGCGTCTAATAAAGTTTCCTCGTCACATCGCGTAATATTTTTTTTTTTAAACAATAGCATTACGGGTGACACTTTGCAGAGATTTTTGAACTCGTGGGCTGTCGTCGCCGCTATGGAAAAACCCTTCTTTTCGCTCTTGGCGCGAGACCAGGGAAGTCAGGTTTTCGAACACTTCCTAAATAAGAAAGCGCTGAATTTTCCTGCGCCACCAAAGGGCAGGCCACAGATTGTACACGACTACGGTGTCAGCGTTCGGCTACGAGTCCTGTCCAGTCAGTGAGAACACGACCCGTAGCCGAACGCTACCGAATTAAGTCGTGTCCAAACTGTGTCCTACGATGACCTTCTTTAGTGACGCAGGAAAAAACTTTGTTACCTAGGAGGTGTTTTCCCGACGGCCGCACAGCGCGGAGGAGCCCCGGCATCCCACCAGTAACGACGCGACCAAGGGAGAGTCTTCTTGTCGTCTGCTTGAAAGACTTGTTTTCAAGCATTACTCGCGTTATTAGAAGTCCCACTTTGAGAGTATCCCGTTCTACATTCAATGTTGGATGGTTTTAGGAACTTCCACCGCGCTTACCCACTTACTTCACGAGTCACCGAACACTGGCGGCGGTCGTCAGGGGCATCCATGACGCCAACCACGACGGCTATGAGAATTAACCACGACGCACCTCCACGACGTCACGTGACGGCACCCTTCCACCCGCATTGCGTGACTGTGCTACAACTATCGCTTTCGTTCCTTCGCACATTTATTTTTGAAAGCGATTGCTTTATATGGGAATCTTGCAGGGACCTCGCTTGCTCGTGTTGGTGTTGGTTGCGCTGCAGCAAGGCCATGGGAATACTGAGGGTGTCAACAGCAAGCACAGCTGTTGGTTTGACGTCATAGCCGCTGCCATGAGAAGCTAGGTGTCAAGGGACATCATGATGTCAAATGGCATCACAGCGTCGGGCATCATCACAGTGTCACGCCATGTCACACTGTCACGTGTCGTCATGGTGCCACATGAAGTCACGTGATCTCAAGGTGTCACGTGACGTCATAGTGTCTCGTAATGTCATGGTGCTACGTGACGTCACAGTGTCATGTGATGTAATTGTGTCAGGTGACGTTACAGTACTGCGTGACGTCATAGGATCAATAAATTCAGTGTCACGTGATCTCAAGGTGTCATGTTACGTCGCTGTTCCACGTGATGGCACGGTGTTACGTGACATCATGGTGTCCCACGAAGTTACGAGACCCATGTCACGCGACGCCACTGTGTCACGTGATGTCACAGTGTCACTATTTTCACGCTATATTTGGGGGGGAATATTATTTCCGCTTAATTTCGATAGAAAGTGCTGCTCGTGAAACTCCATCAAGTGCTATCGCTCTTTCATTATGTTTGACGGAATGACTGTCGAACGTAGCCCGCCAGGTGGTCTACTGGGGTGTTTCGGCGCAGAGGAAACTCAAAAACTGACATAACACGCACATGTTCATTTTTAATTTTTTTCTTTTTTCTTTTTTTTAATTTTCTAATAGAGTTAGGCGTTACAACGTACGAAGCACTTCCAAGCATGCCGCTTTGAACAAACAAAACAAAAATGACGATGCAAAAAAAAAAAAAAAAGTTGCGTGCTCGGGCTTTTTGGCGAGCATCGTAACACACGTTCGGTGGTGAAAACTCCGCTGGCTCTGGACGCTTAACCCAGGTGCTGTGACGTGGCTGACGTCATAGAAGATAACGCTCAGGCTTTAGTAGGCCGATTTCAAATAGGACCGACTTGGATGAGGACCTAGTAAATGACTTGAGTGGTTCATGTCGTTCCAAGACGACTACGGGGATTTCAGTGTAGCCTCAACCTTTCCGCGTTCTTTCCTTTTTTTTTTTTTAATTTTGACATAATCAGTCGCAGGACGAAAATTAATCAGAAACGATTCAAGGTTCGTACAGGTTCGATATTTTAATCCGCTTTATAGGGCAATATACACAAACTTCGCATGTTACAATGATATACAGCGTATACCAAAAAATTCGAGTTTTTTTTTTTTTTTTTACCGAAAAAATAAAATACTTTCAGCCAAATGCTCACCCTTCGCCCAAATGTAGCGCTACGTCTCCAGACCAGATGCCAAAGGTTCGGAACAAACCGATATATCATGTTCAAAAGCTAAATGTGATTTTCTAGAACTTTCAATGGGAAATTGGGGCCGTTCCCGAAAGCTCGCGGCACTCCACGTGGCCTTCCCAATGAAAATCTTCTGTCGGTGACAGTGTTTGTATCGATGACAATTCTTTCATAGATTTGATGAAGAATGCACGTACGAAGGATCTTACGTTGGCGCACTTGAAATGGCAGATCTAAATAATGATTAATGCATGTAACGCTGGCAGTACGGTGATAGTTGTAAAGGATTTAGCGTATTGGGCGATTTTTAAGGTATTCAGCCGAAAGAGTGGGGTCCCGCATGGCGCCAGCATGTTCTAATTTTGGACGGATTAGCGTTTTGTACAAGATTAGTTTCAGTAAAAACAAAAAAAAAAAAAGTTTTTTTTTTTTTTTTAAGTATCTTAATATACGGTTTATCACTGTCAACCACATATTCGACATGAACCTTCCAAGATAGTTCTTGTTGTTTGTATAAACTATAGACTAAAGGCAGAGTTCCTCTATAGGCTCCTAAGGAAGCCAGAGTTGCGCGTCTGTTTTCCACGTGCCGCAGCGCCGCTATTCGTCGAGGTTCGATCACGTGAGGAGCAAAATCTAAGTGACGTGCTGGAAAGCCGCCGATATACTGCCGCTTCGCCGACATTGCAGGCGCCCCGGCGTACGCTTCCCTGCTTTTGGCTCCTCCTCTTTTCCTATTTTCCAGGAAAGGAAGAGCAGGAGCGCGGCGCTTTTCGCCGAATTCAGTCACATGACGAGCAGAATCCCGGGCCGTGCAGGAAAGCCGGCGCTACGGGGATGAACGCGCAACTCTAACCATAGGCAAAAAGAAAGGCCGTCTAGTGTACTCATGATCAATTATCAAGTTTCCGGCGTATTTGGTGTCGGGTGCTCCCGTCTCGATAGCTTCACCCGAGAGACAATGGTCCCGGCAGAATGGAAGTCGTAGATCCGAAAGATGTGAACACCTACCGCTGGTCCATTCCGAACCCTTCACGCAGCGTCTTCGATAAAGGCCGGTTGCTTACCTGGATGGCCCACCGCTTGAGTGACGAA